TTCGACCAGTCAAAGTAAGTCCTTGGCCTATTCTGGTTGATTTAATTGTCAAAACGATATTTAGTGAATTTCAGAATAAATGTCATAGATCATAAGCAGCAAACAATCAGAAGTTTTGCATTATCTGAATGTCGAAAGTTTTGTTCTATTAGCACTTTTAAATGTCTCCAAGGCCATTTTGTTGAGTTTGAATGGTTATGACAATTGCTGATTTCAACAAATGAAAGTTTTGCATTATCTGAATGTTGTTAATTTGTATTGACTGTTAGGAAATAGGCATACTAAAACTGCTATTCTTGTGAATTTTCTCTGTCCATTGTTACTTTTATCCATGATTTGAGGACTAACTGAGTGGTTATGGTGTTTTTGTGAAGGCCCTCCATGTAGTGTCTCTTTTGATTCCACAGACTCATTTGTAGCTTGTAACAGGTGGGGTGTGCCTGTTTATACGGCAGGAACTGACGTTAAACCTTCTGAAATTGCAAGGCAAGGTTTAGAAGAGGCCAAAAAGAAGAACATTGATGTAGTGATAATGGATACAGCAGGAAGAATTCAGGTAATACTTATTGCAAGTATTGTGATCTTTCGGTGACAATTAGATGATTCTAGATGGTACATCCTATTAACTGTTAAGTGCTTCGCATACATATCTTAATTTTTTTCCTATCAATAACAGATAGATAAAGCAATGATGGATGAGTTAAGGAAAGTGAAGCTGGTGTTGAATCCTATAGAAGTTTTGCTTGTTGCGGATGCAATACTTGGCCAAGAAGCTGCATGTACTTAAACTTCCAATTCTAGTTTTATGTCATTTTTATAACGAAAAAGTGTTTTATAGTTTAAATTATAAAACGGTAAACTCTTTTCATAAAATTTAAATACTTAATTTTGACAAAGTTAGATGGGGATTCCAGAGGTGGTGCAGCTTTGAGTGTTCTGGATTTTCTTCAAATTTGTGTTATCTGAAGGTCCTCTTCTTGGTGAAGTTGTTATTATAAATCCTATTCTCCTTGTTGCACTTTTTGCAATCAAGCTGATTCTATCACTAGCATATTTTATTTTCATGGAATCAAATTTAAATAATTGTTTTATGTACCAAAAGCATGAACCTATTGCAGATAGTTTTCTCAATAATGGCTTACCAAAATTGTAATGGTTAAATTTGATTAAAAAAAAAAAAATCAATCAATGCTTGGTAAAGTGATACGAAAATAATGATTAACAGTTTTATCAAGCTTTAGTTTGGATTGGAGAAGTTGAAGGGGAAGGAAAAGAAAAGGGGGAGGAGATGCCTTTTTTTCTTGCATTTAAGTTATTAAATTTTAACGAAAAGGGAGGAAGATAGAACCCATCTACTCTTTTATTTTTAATTCTTTTAAATTTTTAAAATTTTTAAATAAGAGGGATAGAGAAAATTTGACTTTATAAATTTATTTTTAAATTTTTTTTAAAGATAAACATATAAAAATATTTTATATCAATTATTTTTTTAATTAATAAAATTTAAAAATTATATCTTATCTTATTTTTTTAAAAATTATTTAATTAAATAAAAATATTATTTTTTCCTTCCCTCTACTTTTATCTATTCAAATAAAATTAACATCAATCCTTTTCTTTTCTTCACTTCTCCTTCCTTCATTTTTTCTCTCCTCCCTTCTCTTCCCTTTACTAATTTTTATTCAAACAAATGCTAAATTTGATAGTTGATAATTATTTTTAATAATATGTTTGATATAGTGATTTGAAAGTAATGTTTAAGAATTTCATTTAATTTGATGGTTTATAATTGTTTTTATTAATAATTTTGTTTACACAAATTATAAAATTTTAAGATAAAACCACGTGTAAAATATTTTTTAGTGGATGAAGGAGATTAAATCATGTCAGATTCGTGATTTTGAGCCCCATGATAGATCAGCTATCATTTTAGCAAAACATGAGAGATAAAAATGAGATTTTATTGTGTAATTATCTTTTTGAAGTAAAAAGAGACTGTTTGAGCTAAAATATAGGAGAAGATTGTAGTTGAAGAAGGGTTTTATCTTATAAGGGTATAGATGGCAGAAATTTGCAAAGAGATCAAACCAAGTCAATTGGTGAGCCGCTCCATTATCTCAAGAAACCACTCATGATTGCGTAACTACAGAAAGTGGAGGTTATTGCCGGCAGAAGGAGAACAAAAAGGAAATTTTGGAAGGGAAAACACACTGCTAGTCCTACTCAAACATCAGCAAACTTTTTAGACTTTTATTTTCTCTACAAATGCTTCCAGATTTCGGATTTCAGCACAGATTCCAGTAGATTTAGGTTGTTTTTCACCATTCCAATAGGCAAATTAATTCATGTATTCAGTTCAACAATTTTCTTTCATGCAATAAACTTCAATCTTTCAAGTTTATGCAAGGTATTGTTCTCTTTCTATTTGCAATTAATTTAATGTTTATTATAAGTAACATTTTATTCAATGATTACTTATGTGGTGTTCACACCTCTTTTCAACTTCAAGCATGTTAGTTTAATCACTATTCACGTTAATTTTAATGTTAATTAAGGTAAAATCTTTAATTTTGCAGCATTTTAATTTTTATATTTGTCAGTAGATAACATTTTAATTTAATAATGAACATGTTTAATTTAATTTGGGCACATTTTATTCTCGCAATTTTATTTTAAATTATAAGTTATTTAGTTCAATTAGGATTTGTTAATTTTAAGTCACGATAGTGTTTAAATCCTTGGAGTTATCCAAGGCAGATTTCGTAACTCATTTTACAGGAAGGTATTCCTCCCTCTTGCTCTTGCAAATCACTTGTAGGTGCAGATTTCAATTTTAATCCAACATTCTTCCCGCCATCTGCAAGGAGATCGACCGTGAGGAAGGAGAGGGTCGTTAGGAAAGTTTTCTTTCTTACTTTCAGTAAAGTAAGTGATACGTCTGTATTCAAATTTCACACATGTGAGGCCACTAGTGAATTTTTGGGGAAACAAATTCACACACTTATTGTTGAATTAAGCAAAACTATTATTCTCATTTTTCAATATGATATATCGAACACCTCTTAAACTTATTTCAAATTGAAAAAACAAAATAAATTAT